TTGGAAGGTTGTCTCTAGTGGTGATGTCAATTAAATGCTTACACCATAGAAACCAAGCTGCTGAGTTTATTTTAATGACAGAGGATTTATTTTGATGGCAATAGTTAAAGTTTTATAGCTGAGGCAGTATTGCATAATGGTGAATTCTAATTGGCAACTTCATTACAAACTGTGGCATTGAGTTCCATAGACTCAAGCTTGTCAGTGTGTGTGTGTGTGTGTGTGTGTGTGTGCACATGCGCATGTAGACTTAACAAAATACAGGTTTGATGCATGAGGAGGATAGGAGTTCCATGTAGGAGTAGGATAACCTATAACATCTTTCTCACGTGTTGCATTTAGAACTATGTTCACTGTGGCTATCTGCATGTAACAGAAAACCATGGTTAATTAATGCAACTTTTGTTGTGCATTGGCAAGAGTAAGCAAGTTTGCCGCCTCCCAATTGCCCTCCCTTCTGCTTTTGATGAATAACCTGGGATTGGTTGGTCATAGGTTGTTGGGTGTTACCTGTGAACCAGAAACGCTGGGTTGTTTAAGGGCATGTTGTTTAACCACTGGATGGTTTGAGCCCTTAAACAATCCAGGAGTCCAGTTGCATGTCATGCCTAACAATTTCCACCTGGCAAATTAATTTACCTGCAGTTTGCTATTACATGTGAATTAGGTCACTAACATTCAGCATATAATTAGAAACACATGACTCAATATAATAAAACCAAAACTGTCAAGAATGCATATTTTCTTATCGTATTATGATATGGTAAATCTAGTCACATGTTTAAGACTGAGCATGACTTGGAGCATCCCTGAATGTGTGTCAGCAAAATATATGTGAAAATGAATGGAAGAAATAAATATATTAAGGTTTTACAAAGAGGATTAAAAAAAATTCCCCATGACTTCAAAATTTTCAGAAGTCTTATATCTCTAATCTGTCTTAAACATTTTCTCATGTAGATTTAAGAAATGGATTCAAGAGAGTCAATGCCAGATAGCAAGATACAAACACCTTGTTGGAAACATTTTATTCATCATTCTGAAAAAACATATTTTAATCAAAACAATTCAATTGTGCCCTTATTTTTGGAATTAAACAAAGTCTCTTGGAGGAAAAAATTAGGGGAAAACTTTTCTTTTGCATTTTTCCCCACACTTTTATATTGCTATTAAAAAGCAAAGCCATCAAGGCAGTGCACAACACCAGAAACAAGTGGCCATTAAAAACATTAAACAATTATACAATTTATGGTACAACCCAGTGGGGATGCCCATAAGCCCCTGAACTGGGGGGATTGCAGGCATCCCATACAGGACAGAAAGAGTGGGGAAGCCATCCTTGCTTCCCTGCTCTTCCCATCCAGAATTTTAACTACATGATTGATTTTGGCCTTCTAGCCACAATCCTTTAGACCAGGGGTCTCAAACTCGCGGCCCAAGGGCCACTTGCCGGGATGGGTGGGGCACGGGGGAGGGGCCCTGCGGCCTTCAAAGCGCCAGCGGCACCCGGGCCGGCCGCGGGATGAGCGGCCCACCACCACTGCGGTGGTGGAATACTTGATGCATCCCAGCCTCACCCAGACTCTACTTCCAGCGGCCCCCAGGTCAGTTGAGTTTGAGACCCCTGCTTTAGACAGAAAGGGAAGGGGATTGGAGCACCACCAAGACACAGTGTATGTGGGCTGACCTGGTCTCTCCTGTGTCACCTGTCAGAACTCCCTCTTCACCCCTTCCCAAGGTTGGTCTTGAGAAGAAGTTGATAGAATACTTTTCTGTGTTGACTGTGAGGCAGTAGGAAGTGGGATCCAAGTGGGCATCTCAAGCTCCCAGGTCAAAGCTTTTTTCCATTCTTGGATCTGGGACTTGGAAGAATATTGCAGCCCGCTAGATGCTGTCTGGGGGCCATGGAATTGGTCTGTCCAAAGGCTAAATACAAGGGATCTGTCTTCACATCCTTTCTGAAATCCAAGAGTGAGGGACAAATGTAATCATTGTAGGAGTGGGTTCTGTACTTTTGGGAGCAATGTAAGGTAAATGATGGACTACTACGGATAATGATTACCCTCAGTAGGAATACTCTTGCAGATCTCATCAACCAGACAGGTTCCTAACAAAACAGGTGGGTATCTGAGAAACTATTTAGGACTTTAAAGCTTAAAACCGGCACCTTGAAATGGGCCTGGAAAGCAATGGGCAAGCATTGGCAAGATGGGTTTAATAGACTGTATTCAGTAGGTCATCTCGCATGATTGATTGCACATGCCAATGCATGTAAACAGCTATTTTAAATATTCATTGCTTAGCCACAGCTTGTCATGTTGTACAAACCTGGGCACCAGAGATTGTGTGAGGGTTAAACAACCCTTATACAGACAATAGATTTTTTGACCTACAATTCCTATCAGCCCAAGCAGTAAAGCCAGTGATAGGGTGGTGATGAGATATCAATCCCTTGCAAGAAGAACAAAAGCAAGATATACATGAATTCATCAGCATTATAGTTCTATGTCAGAATATCTGGAGGGCCACAAGTTACCCATCCTCGGGCAAAGGGAGGTATTGCTATCCTTGAAGCATTGCAAATGATCTCCTGGTTTGCTTCAGCTGCAGTTTTAGAACTATCAGCATTCGACCTACATAGAGCACATTACACCAAGGCTGTAATGCTACATTGCTTGTCTGGGATTAAACCCCATGGATACAGTAGGACTTGTTTCTAAATATATGAGTATAAGATTGTGTCGTTAGTAGCCTAACCTTGAGCGGGGAGAGGAGGAAGATGTTGAGGAGCAGTAGTGTCCTTTGATAATGTGTGAGCTTTGACCCCCATTGCTTTTGCTCCAACTTTTCATGTCCTTGCTACATGTTAAGATACTGAACAGAAAAGAGAACCAAGGTTTCCTTCATCCAGCTGAAAAGTGGACAATGGTAGATTTATCAAGGAGCCTCATGACAGCATTTAGAAGCATTTATTTCATTGTCTGCTGTTCAGACAAATTGATGGGTGATTTAAATGGAACATAAGCAATGTGTTCTTAATTTTCTGCTCTGCCAAAGAAACACTGGATGATTCACTAAAAGTTGTGGCCTTCAACCTTTTCTGACCTGGGACCCATGTTTAACCACAACCTGCAACAGAAGTGGAACCTGTATATGTTGTAACACTTCTGTACACTTTCCCCCATTTTCTCTGTTAAACTTAAGAAAATGATACTATCAGCACAGCACAGTTTGGGCTGGAGTCCTCTGCATTTTATTGATTCATTGTACTTTGATACAACCTTTTTGGAGTGAACCAAAGTGGTTTGCAAAAAAACGTGACAACAATTTTTAAAAAGCCAGCTTAAAAGGTTCACTGAGTGTGCCTACTCTTACACCATAATATAACTGGTTCGCACACAGAGATTATGAGAATATATTAAGAGAGAGAATCATTCTGTACATGAAATCCTATTACCAAATTTCCCAAATTGTTCTGCTTTTGTGAAGCCCTAGGTGTTCATTTTTTTTTTTAATGATCATTAATTCATAAGGTGAGGTCAAGAAGCCCACCTTGTTTGTAAAGTCAATTAATTCCAGATTGGAAGGATTGAGCTTTGCGGCTTGGCATTTTATGTCTTAGAGAGGTACCTGAGTAATGAGTTTAAGCTTTCCTTCCAGGAAGGGAGCTTCCATTTGCAGCAGCCGAGCGTTCCACAGACGCTATGGCAACAGTGCAGTTCAGGCCACTCCTGCATAACAAGGGGAGGCATATTTCTCTGAAGGGAGACCAGAAAGTGCTGACCCTTCCAAGGGTGCTGGAAAGGTGACATGTTACACTTACAGCAGGAGAAAAAGGAGGAGCGGTCCTGCTTTCCTAATAAGCCCATCCACCAAATTTGGGCTGGCTTAGCTATAGCGTAAAGGTGTGTTGTAGTCTTCCTTATTCCAAGGCTGTGCCTGGAATTCAGACATTAAAGTAAGGATCTGGGGGGAACCTCCCTATCCCCAATCTCCACATTGCAGGGTTGGCTTACAGTATTGGACCCGCTGAACCACAGACTACAGCTTCGAAAAATCCAAGAACCTTAAACATCGCACCACCTTTACATGTGCATTAACTTCCTCCCTTTGCTACATGAGGCCTGCAGAGCATGACAAGAAAAGACTCAGGAAGGTGCAGATTAATTCCTGCCCTGGTCTAATGCCCTTTGAAAAGGTTAAAGGCTTTGGAAGAAGCAGATTATATCCCCTTCTCTTCTCAGGTGAGGCCTACAGAGCATGGGTGGAAGAAAATAGGAGAAATAAGTGAGGAGAAATAAATTTCACAAGTTGGTCTTCACTTCTTTCAAGGTGGCCAGAAATCCTCAGAGGGGATTATAATGACTGACCATTTCCTTTTCCCTAGTTTTTTAGTAGCTTCCCTCTGTTTTCATCTGACCCGGATGTGTTTCTTTTTGAATAAATCTGCATCTCTCCTCTTCTTTCCATGCTGTTTGCCCCCTTCAGGATTCTTCTGCAACCAGCATCTCTCCTGTTTTCCACAGTTTTCACCTCTTAGGCATTTGCTTGCAGCTGTGTGTTTCCTCAGGAGTCTCCTCCCTTTCTTTTCTTTACTGTGCTTTCCTTGTCTCTCCAATTTTACTTGCAAAATGTTTCCCCTTGGCCCTCAGCAGTGCCTGCAGCCCAAATAAGGGATGTTGGGGAAATGCAGGGATGCCTTTTTTGTCTCAAGAGCTACAGCTGAGCTGTTGGAAGCACTGCTTGCTCACCCTGGTCCATTTTTAGTGAAAACCATTTCTTGGTGTCCACCACACTGAGATGAGCCACACTAAAATGAATGAACAGAAAACTGCCCCTTTCTCTAACCACCTCTGCTTAGCTTATGATCCAGAGCTCCATTCTCAGTTTTGTTTTAAGTGTTCCTGAAGTGGGTTGCTATATGGTGGTCACTGACTCTGCTTATAATTTTATAGCAACTGTCTTGTTTTTCTGCCCTTTCCCACCCTGTTCTTTTTCAGTGTATTGGATTATAGGGCTGCTGCTTCTCAGGAGAGCCTCTGCTGGATTGTTTGCTGTTTCTGCTGCTTTCCATCCACCTGAAGGTTTAAATTGAGGTCAGTCTGTATAAATGCCAAAGGACCTCTTACTGCTTTACATGCTAGGGAAATCCTGTTCCAAATAATGCTGTCATAGCATGTCATGTAAACTTCAATAAATTAGCTCTTCGATTGGGAATGATTGTTCTTAAAGATTAGAGTTACTAGAGTTACTTGTTACCATAAACTAAAGTTACTTGTTATCTCTGGTCTGATTGTAGAGGTACCCCCTAAAGTGGTTTCCTACTTGAAGATAGGTTTGGCTAGGTTTGATAGCTAGACTTGACATCCCAGTCTTGCTGCATCGCTATTTGGGGTTTAGAATCTGCCCTAATGTTGATGAGGAATAACAGAAGGGGAAACGTTGACCAGTGGGCTGGATGCAGTTTCTCATCCAGTCCACCAGCTTCTGTTTTAAGCCCCACTACCTACTCCCTGCAGGGGAACTCTTTTATCTCTGATGAGTTGCTGCACAGTAGTAAGTGCCTTCCACTGAAGGGTGGAGGAGGCAGAGCCTAGGGAGGCAGTTACAAAGTGATTAAGCCTTGCTTGCTTCTGAAGCTTGTCCTGCTTGCTTGTAAGTAGAAATGCTGCCCATACTTATGTAAGAGTAGACCCAGAAGCTTGATATTCAGGTTGCTATTTGAAAGTGCTGCTGAATGGATCATTCCTCTTTGCTTTTGAGTAGGCTTAAAGTTTGCACTCACATTTTGGCCCTCCCTACTCTGCCTTTGGTCCTGCTCACATTTGGAATGCATCCCCTGAAACTGCCCAGATTGGAATTTGGCCTGCAAGAGGAAAATGGTTCCCCATGACTAGATTTGCACATCAAAAGGCCAAGCAGAAATGATGTGGTTCTAGTTTTCAGGCTGGTAGTCATAGAATTTGGAAGCTCAGTATATTTGGTGCATTGCTATCCTGTTTAGGGATCTGTATGGTACCCTGGAAATCTTTTAACTGAACAAGGAATAGCATGTTCATACTGTAGTACAAAAAATTGTACTACTCAATTTGTATACTCAAAAGAGTGGTGTATATATATATATATATATATATATATATATATATATATATATATATATAAAAAAGTTGGGAAGCCAAGAAATGGCTTTGTTTGGACATGTATTTGTAAATCAATGTATTTTTTGTATTGTTATATTTAATGGTAATTTATTATGTACTATTGTATTTCAATGTATTTTATCATGTTGTAAGCCGCCCCGAGGTTTCGGCAAGGGGCGGCATAGAAATGTTATAATAATAATAATAATAATAATAATAATAATAATAATAATAATAATGTGGGCTTTGCAATTAAAAGGTCATCACTTGCAATAATTTAGGTGGGCATTTCCATGTGGCATAACAGGATGATTTTTGAAAGTTATTTCTGACTAGATAACATGCAAGCTGGTCTGTTCCTGGAAGTACAGTGTGGCCCCACTTCACACACACTTCCTCTGTGCCACTGCAAAGGTGCTTACATGTGATTCTTGTTGCTGATAGGAGATGGACTTGGTAGACCAAGATGTGCTGCCCACATCTATTCACTTTGTTTACCTGGAGATAATCAGAACTACACAATCTGAAATAATGGACTCTACTGTATAGATACTGTCTCTTACTGCCCCACCCCATCTTAAGTGCTTGGTTTGGCTTTTCACATTGTCAGTAGTTTGGAGCAGAAACTGTGCTTACCTTTTGTCATGTGGTATCAGGGGGACCAGATGTTGGCTGATCTTTTTAAGAAAGGGTTTTCTGTAGTTGCTTTGAAGCAATTTTGGGGCCTTTTATACAGAAAGGTTTGGCTCACAGTTCTGAGAAACAGCATGTGTATTCTTGTATGTATTTCAAACCAAGTTGCAACAGGAAGAAATATAAAATCTGTTGCCCCCTGCACCAGTATTTAAAATCATCCTTAAAAGGCAGAGACCTAGTCTTGCCTTCACATGGCATTAAATTCGCACTATTGTGTTTTTCCTCAAGCTTAGGAGGACACTAAGGGGGTGGGAGGCATTTGGCAGAATAAAAGCATTTATAAAATGGCAGCTACAAGCTTGTCAAATTCTTGTTTAATTTGACATTTGTTAGTGAATATAGCAAACATACTATATACCATATAGTCAGGTGATTTTCTTTGGTTAATGCTTAATACAGATCTCTGCAATTAAGTTTTAGAAACCATTTTCTAGACATTTTCAAGGTCTTCACAGTTCATGCATGCAAATAGAGGCATGGGATTGTCAGGGATTCTTTTGTGGGGAGGGATAATTTGACATAAGTAGATAACCTATCCATTATTAGGCCATTCCAAATCTTACTATATTATCCTGTTTGGAAGAGTGTTCCTCACATCACACCACAATATAAACCAGCTTAAAAGTAGGCTGTTGGAAGTAAAATTAATCTAGTATTTTGAGACTGATGGATATACTGTCTTTTCTGAGGTGATCTATCAATATTGTTGTGAACTCTTTAGGGATAGGATAGCCTGTAATACTATATATGTGATTCAGTCTTCATTTCCGGTACTTTTTGCATATTAGGTCAAGCCCATCAGTTAAGAAACAGAATCCAGTTTGCCATAGTTTGTCCTTCCATTCCTCTTTGCCTGTTCTGATTTGCTAGAAAATTGAAATGTTCCTGGGAAAAGGGACTATCAGAATTAGAAAGAAAGAGCTTACTTGTACAACACTATCTGAGCCTAATGGACAGTCCATGTAAGTTTGCTACAGGGCTTCTGGATGAATTCTCCTTTAGCTTATTTCAAGTATGGCTCCAGTCCTCTTTGTTGCATAGAAAAGCTTGGTAATAAGCAGGCAGGAATGCCTCCAGTGACTTGCACCTGGGCTTCCAGTAAGAGGGCAGTTGCTCTCCTCATCCCTTTTGTGACTTGTCCACATGGACTATCCTTTGGGCTCCAGTTTTCAAGCCTCCCCCTTTCCTATATCCATACACACTGGTGCTTGCCCCCAAAGCCATTTATTCAGGAAGTGGAGTGGAGTATTCAAGGGAAGTCTGTGTAAATGTAATTTATTTGACTGAGCACAGAACTTTTGTGTTATAGACCTGTTTAATGTGGAGTTTTCTTTTGGTATCTAGTATGTTTAGCATTTGGATTGACGACAACACTACATATGTGGTGTAGCTCTAAAATCTAGTGTGGGAGGTGGCAACTTATGACCCTCTAGATCATGGATCCTCAAACTACAGCCCGCAGGCCGGATCCGGCCTGCCGTGCCCATTTTTCCAGCCTGCCATAGAGGTTTTGGCCTCACTGCGTGCATGCATGGCGAGGCGCTGGCTTGCTTGCAAGGTGATCGTTTTGTACTCAACTTGGAGAAAACGATCTCTGCGCAAGCCTGCCCCTGCCTCACTGCACACACGCGCCCCCTCCTCCCACCCACACCGCCTTGGCGGCCTGCGCCCATCGTCAACAGCTTTCAACTGGCCCCCTGTTGAAAAAGTTTGAGGACCTCTGCTCTAGATGTTTTGGCCTACATCATCCCTTGTCATTGGCTAAATTGGCTGCGGTTGATGGGAACTGTAGGACAAAAGACCTGCAGGGCCACAAGTTGACTACCCCCGATTTAATGAGATGCTTAAATTAAAATATTTGGATCCCAAATGGAGGGAGAGGTTTGCATGTAATGCTATCATGGCATGAGTGATTCAGTTCTAGAAGGCTGTGTTGTGCAAAACCAACTGCACTCACCTTGGTATGTTAACCACAGACAATGCAGAAAAGGAATCCATGGTTCTGGGGTTGTGAACTGTGGCTTATTTAAAATATAGCTTGTTGTTATGTGTAAACCCAGAACCATGAGTTTTTCAATGGGCTTCACAGGCAGCAGAGGTGACATTCAAAAGAGACAGACAGACAGACAGACAGACAGACAGATAGATGCTGTTCTGCATGCCAGTACTACAACTTAACAAATGCATTTGGGATAGAGGGGAAGGGATGAGCAGAAAGGAGGGAAACAACCCAGGGATTGAGAAAACAGACCATATAATGGATTAAATAAACCATGGGTTAGTGTTATGTGTAATCCAGGCAATAGTAATGAGCTATTTCTTTCTTTTCTAGGTCTATTGTAGACAGGATGGATGATCAGAAACCACCTGGTGAGGACAAAGACTGTGGCACACCAGGTAGGTGCACCTGCTTTGGTCACTGTAGTAGATGATAAGCAATCCTAGGCAGCTACATACTAGTGAGCAGCTAGCTCCGTTTACAAAAATGTATAAACTGCTTGTATATTCTTGCTGTAGCTCAAGGTTAGCCAAGTCATTTTGTAGTCTGAGACAAGGGACAAAACCACTTGTGCTCCTCCTCCCCCCCCAATGCGCGTGGACACATGCGCGCGCGCGCACACACACACACACACACACACGGGCATCATTCTTCTGTACTGGACTGCTGCAGGGTATATGAGGGGGCATCGGGCACATAGCTCTGACTACCAGTCCCTGCTGCACAGTGCCTGCCTCACTCTGCCCAATGGTAAGACTGGCCCTGTCTCTGTCATATCCTGGCTTGCTTTCTTTGTATTTTTGAAAAAGACGGGTTTGCCTGTTTCCACTGCCAGGTAAGTTTTATTCCAGAGAATGCAGTTGACAAGAGGGGATGCCTTTTGCGGCATAATCAAATAGGTGGGATAAGGTATTTGAAAGCCGGTGATACATGTTCTTAAGTTATAGGGTATAACCAACTTGTGTTTTAGACTGTAAAGCTAAAAAGATAGCACAGAGGGAGAGACCATGCCCTTGCAAGGCCTATGTGCAAGACCTGGCGAAAACCTGGTCCTGGCTCTTGTCTAAGTGGTCCTTCATCGTGTGCTACTAGAGTTCAGTTTGCTTTACCCCAAATTCAGCTTTTGGGCTAGGATTAAGGACATCGTTTTGGGTAAGGGATATTCTCTCAGGAAACTGTCACTTAGGAAAGGTTTGGGTATTCTAATTGTTTGAAAATAATGACTAGTAGCTATTTGGACTCTTAAATTCACTGCCCAGTTTCTTCTAGATAGAAGCTATACAGTATATTCTCCATCATGATTTTTGAAAGGAGCAATGTGGCTGCAGGAGTTTCCATGCAGTATAATAGGAACACGAGAAACAAAACCTCTGGCCTCATTGTCTTCATTTCTAGGCAGCATTGCACATGAAACTCCCGCAAATGTTGTGTGTGTGTGTGTGCACATGAGTGAGAGAGATGCAGAACATGGTGCAGGCCATGAAGTAGTATTCCCAGAGCAGTGTCCTCCGGATGTCTTGGAGTGTAATTCTCATCATCCCTGGTCAGCATGACCAGTAATCCAGGATAACACACAGGGACACAAAAGAATGAATATACTGGTAGAGTAATATTTTACTCCACTTCTGCTTTTACACTGGTTTCCTATCTGAAGTGTTCTTCTCTGCTTTTGAGAATTAAATCATTAGCATAATCACTGCTTAGTTTCTTCCTCCTCTGCAGTTTAGAAAGAAACTAGAGTGGGGGCACACAGGTGTCCCATCTCTGGTATGGTGCCTGCTGTCCCACTGCTGGGTACTCCCATCCTTCATGGTGGCAGCTTCAAAGGGACAAGTTTATCTTAGACATAAGCTAGATTTGTCCTTTTTAAGTATCTGTAGTGCTTTGCCATATAATTATGCTGTGTGACTGCAGGAGTGGAGATGGCAGGGGGATATTTTCAAGGGTGAAAAGTGATCTCCAGATCTCTTGAAGTTGCCCACCCCTGAGCTAGAGGTTACAAGAACATGGGATTGCCGTGTGAGTCAGGATCCTTCTCTGACATGTAGCTTAACTGGACCTATGTCCTGATGTCTTTCCAATGCAGGTAGCTCTACCTCTGCTTCCTGTCACTGGTTGCACTGGTAGCAGGCGGGGAAATGCTTGTCATAATCCTGTCAGGATAGTGGTTATTGACTGGGAAATTAAACACATGCTGCTCCTTTTGGGCAACAGTCCCATGTGCATTATAACGGAACAGTATTACCACTTGGTGAGCTCCTCAGAAAGGGCAGGGAACATGGCATGAATTATGGGCCCTGTTGCCAGTTGCCACACCCAGATCCTGACAGGTACCCTCTTGCAGCAGCAGATGGAATCGCATCCTCAGAAGAGCCGGGGAGTGTGGAAGCCGATCCTCTGAAACCACCAGAAGAGGACCCTGCGAATGAGACAGTGAATGAGGAGGAAGCTACAGAAGAACCATCCCAAACTTCCAGGCGAGAAATATTTAAGCTTATTCTGGAGAGGTGGGAGGAGGGAATCAAAAACTCCAGGTGGGAGGACTCTGATGGGAAGAGATTCTGCTCTATGATTATGAAGCTGGAAAGCAGGTCTCTCTGAGGAGGCACCGCCAGATGCTTCAGGAGCAAAAGCTCTTCACCTCAGGTTCCATTGGATGGTAGTGCATAAGAGACACAGGAAAAGTCCTCCTTCACTTCCAGTTTATTATTCTGTTTTTAGCTGTCTCTCCCTTTGGTTGCAGCGATGAAATATTCTTGCTCTTTCCCTGTTTGTAGTCTTCGTGTCCCTACAATAACATTTCAGTTGCTGAGCAGCCTTGACTTTTTTGTTTTTCGCCTTGCCTTGAGGGAGAATTTTAACTTGCTGTTTTTCTTGATGCTGATTAAGGAGACTTGCAAGGACACAGGTTGAAAAAATGGTGCAGAGGGAATCATGGTGGAGAAAGCTAGGGTTTGACTGCAATTGCAATCTGGATCTGAAAGCAGAGGGTAGCAGAATAAGAATAGGAGGCCATCCTGGCCTTTTCTGCAGAAAGCTGGGGCAGAGGCTACTGCCTGTATTTAAAAAAGCCTTGGAGCCAGGGATGCATGTCACTTGTATCAAGTCTTCAGGGGTCTTGTGTGAAAACGGTCCTGTGCTGGATTGCAGCACAGCAATCAGACATCTTCTATAGCCCTGATCCGGATGCGAAGTGGAAATTGCGTGTGGGTAACTGTGTGGAGTATCAAGCTGGCGCAGTGCCCTTTTGGTGTAGTGCCCTCCAAACCCCTATATGTATGGGTTTGGGCAGAAAGCTAACGGGAGAGGCACAGTCCAGCCACTTGGATCATGCATCTGCTGGCCTCCTCTGACTACCCTGGATTCAGTCAGCTGGCTCTTTGCTAGGCCTCATCCTGTAATTCCTATCATGGTTGTAGTCACCATCATACTATTATTAATAATAAATTATTATTGGATCATCAATTATTAATGCATTATTATACAACTATTCTTTGCATTGAATTATTAAGTATTACTATTACCTGATTCGCTATTAAGAATAAACTATTGAGAAGAATAGCTGCACAGTACATTTTGTTTTGTAAGCACTGCATGGAGAGAAAAGGATAAGGCGGGTCCTGCCTTTAGACTTGCTACCTTGTAGAACTCCCCCATGATGAGCAGGGCTGTTCCAGCACAAGGACGGGCATCTTTGCACCCATCCACACATTGTGCCTAATGCTTTTTCTCAGCGCCCAGAGCAACTCGTGTTGCGTCAGCTGAGTCGGTATGGTTGTCTGCTATACAAAGGTGGTGGTGACACTGAAGAGTGTGACTTATGGAAGAAATACGGCCTGAAGTGGCATTGAGAGGAAGTTCGCTCATAACTTTGATTTGGTCCTCTGGAAGTTTTAAAAGGATTTGTTGTTTTTAATTGGACTGTTGCTTGCAGTCTTCCCAAAGGCGTCCACTGAGTTCCTGTCTTGCTCTGTACCTGTTAGGTATCTTAGCCTGTGTGAACGCCTCAAAGCCACTTAGTGCAGGAACGAAAGTTCTCAGCTTTGTGGTGGCGAGGCATCATGCCTGCACCCAGCTTCCTAGCCATGTCTGGCAGAGCATAGCATGGCTGAACAAAGAACATGAGAAGGTCAATGAGCTGAGGTGCCACAGGGATCTAGGGGATCCCCCTTAACACCAAGACCATAATGGTTGCTCGTGAAAAGGGATTGTGGGGTTTTGCGTGTGTCCAACTTGCAGATTTCAGAGATGCTCGTGATCTGTGCAATGACAAGCTCTTTCTTCTCCCTGCCCACCCCCAGCTCCCCACCCAAACGCTGTGCATTCTGTAACTGCAGCAAGTGGAGTTTGCATGGGCAGCGAGAGCTCTTACGTTTTGATCCTGCTCCTGGCTGGGCAGAAGAGCTTTCTGACCAACAGGAAGGGAAGCAGCCTGGCACAGCAGAGGCTGGAGGTGATGACCTGACCCTGATTGGCTTTGCAGAGGGTGTGTCAGCCCAAGAGGTGTTTGAGCCAACAGGTGAGTGGTAAGCACAGGGGAACTGGGCTTGGCACGTTTGCTGTGGTCCTTCCGTCCTGATCCACAACTCCCTTGTGTCTCAGCCAAGACTTCCCTATGTCTGTTCTATGCCTTCTCTGAATTTCATATGCAGCATTATTGGCATTTATTATGACGCATTTTGCTTTTTTGCTTTTGCAAGCTGCGTAAATATACCTTTTATATATGCACATGGAAAGAAGTATATTGAGTGGTCGACTGAATAAGTAAATATAGAAACCAGAGGCTAGAACGTCCTCGAAGCTGGCTAGGTTCTTGTTTTGCTGTTCATGCCAAATTCCATCATGCTAAGGCTTGGGTTAGAGTAAATCTAGGGGAGGGCAGGGCAGATAAGTCTGTGGGATTTACTCTTTAAGAAGAAAGAAAACAAGGACCCCCAAGCACATCTCCCAGTTGGACTCACAACACAACAGTGGTCCAGGAGTGTGCTTGTAAACAAGTGTTCACTCCGAGCACATGCTCAGCCCCAGGAGGTTTCCCACTGAGTCCCACAACTGAACTCTCCAACCTTTTACACAAGCATCCACTTCAGAGCTTTCTCCAAACTTTGTTTATTTCAGCAGCATCCTTTGGAAAAGTGAGTGTGTTGGGGTGGGTGTTCTGTTACTGTTATTAAACAGTTGGGAGTCAGAAGCGCTGGTGGACCTTCCACAAATCTCCCAGAGATCCAGCAGTAGCTCCTGGAATGATGCTGTTCTTCCTCCTCAGTCACTGCACCTCCCAAATCCCTGGTCTCCCAGCTACTCTTAAAGCAGCTGTTCCCCTTGCCAGTTGCATGCTTCGTGCCCTGCCTAAATTTTCCTTTGCTTCCCTTGTTACCATTTCCTCTTGCTTTTCTTTCAGGGCACTTTTGGGCTCATCACTGGTGTGTGGTGTGGTCAGCTGGAGTCTTGCGCGCGGAAGGATCATGGTTGAGCCATGTGAACAAAGCGGTCATCTCAGGGATTGCACAGGTCTGTCATGATCGGCTGTACAGGGAGAGGGAGGTGGAGCCCTTCCTAACTGTTGTGGGGTGAACTTGTACAGTTCGACACAGAGCAGCCTTCCCCATTTTCGTGCTCTCCAGATGCTTCATATTCCATCTGCCAGCCTTTCTGGTCACAGCCACGCTGGCTGGATCTGATGGGCGCTGCAGTCCAAAAATCTGGAGAGCACCAAGTGGGGAAGACTGGTCCAGAGCACAATTCTGGACTAGGCTTTTTGAAACACTTGCATTATGGAACATAAAGGATAGCCTCAGAACTTGAAAAATCCCACCTACCATCACTATGCCATGGGATTACTAATTCCTAAGTATGTCCTGATACAGGCCCTGATTATGTTGGAAATAAGGACTTTGATTTGATTTCTGAAAGACCCATGGATCTCCCCCACTGTTGACTGGGAAGAAGATCAGAGTAAATTCCTCATTTCCTAATGCTTGTTGATGGAGTCTACCAAGTTCAGTTGAAATTGCAGTGATCAAACAATGTTAGCCAAGTTGACTGAAGAGGTGGCCGTTTGAGAATGAATGCTGGAGATCCAGTGATCAATGCAAGCAAGGAGCCTTATGTAGCACAGCTACCAGTTCCTCCTGTTGGCATTTCCAACCTTTTCTGCAAGGACCAGAGCCCCACCCACTCGGCAACAAATTTGTTGTAAACATGCAAAGTCTCCCTCCACTATTTAAACCAGATTTTGTTGTAATGTACGCATGTGAAGTAGATGAATCCAGTTTTCCCAACTGTAGCATTCATTCCGACAATGTGGGTTTCTTAACTTTGTTTTTCGTATATCATGCTCTCCAGACTTTGCCAATAGGGGATTAGATTCCCTTTTGCAATGAATAAAGGCTTGAAAATGACACCCCTGGGAACAGTAAAGAGCCCAGGAATGGTCTGCAAGATTATTAGGTTGTATGTCTACATTATACTTGCTCCCATTTGGTACAACCTGGAGATCAGATAATGGAACTGTTTGGAGACTTCTGTTTAAATGGATAGCTGTTGCAAACAGCTCGCCATGCCGATGTGTTTTTCAGCTTCGTAGACCCTTCTCTATAATACAGAGGATGACTGGGTGGCTTTGCTGCTGCCTAGATACTGAAGGTCATTGCCAGAGCAGATTAAGTTGTTCTTTGATTCTGTTCCTCTGCATCTGTCTGTGTGCCTATGTCCAACCCCTGCAGAAGCTGCATCTCCTCACTGACTATTCAGCATTTCTGACGTGTAGATCCGCAGGAAGAGATCCTCTTTTGACCTGTGATCCTTTTCTCGATTCTTTCAGAAATGTGAACACTGTAACAGGCGGGGTGCTACCATTCCGTGCCATGCAGAGGGGTGCCAGCGCTACTATCACTTCCCCTGTGCAGCAGCTAGTGGCTGCTTCCAGTCCATGAAGAGCTTGAAGCTTCTGTGTCCAGAACACCTAGACCAAGCTGTACAGATGGGTAAGTGTTGCTGGGATGCCAGGGACAATCAGTGAGGCAAGATTTTACTTGTGGCTTGCTGGGACTAGAATGGGGCTAGTCTGTTCCAAGGGTCTTCTGAATAGCGTGGACCTAAGTGGAAGTGATATCTAGTGGGTGGTGCAGCAGGCTGTTGAGACTGCCAGTTTAATTCCTTGGCCTGAGAGAGCAGAAAAAGGAGGTCCTGTACACTTGCCTGTCTGGGTCTGCCTGTGGGTGGAGGGCGCAAGGCAACTGAGGGGTGAGTTAGGGGCTTTGGTCACACCGTGCCCTTCTTCCCACAGAAGACTCACGCTGCATGGTGTGCGATACCCCAGGGGAGTTGCGCGACCTGCTCTTCTGCACTAGTTGTGGCCTGCACTACCACGGGGCCTGTCTGGAGATCACGGTGACACCACGCAAACGCTCAGGCTGGCAATGTCATGAGTGCAAAGTTTGCCAGACTTGCAGGTGAGATTTTGGTCCCCTTGGAAGTGAGGAAGGAGGTGGTTATGTTGAGTATCTCAGAAGATTCTGAGGGCAAAGGGTGCATTGATTGGCTAGGAGTCCAACGGTGTCTCTCTCTTGCAGGCTGTCTGGTGAGGACAGCAGGATGCTGGTGTGTGAAGCTTGTGAAAAATGCTACCATACCTACTGCTTGAAGCCAGCCATCGAGAGCCTCCCCACAGACTCCTGGAAGTGCAAAGTAAGCCCTGCCTGTGTGCAAATTTAGGCTGAAAAGCTCAAAACTGCTAAGGTAACCCAAGTTGTGGCTCCTACCACAAATCCTGAATTCTGCAGATTAAGGGAATGTGCTTCTTTGCTAATTTTGTATACTCTACTCTGATTCCAATAGACAAGGTGCAGAAGAAGGAAGCACTGGTAGCCAAAAGCTTGCTTCCAGCCTGTGAAAATACTGTTCAGTCTCTCCTCTGGCTTTGGAAAGAGTGGTTGTGTTTGCACACAGTTTTAGCATACCCTGAAAATAAGCCATGTTGGAGTCATTGTGGTGTGAACAACCCACGTTGAGCCTGACAGATGACCAGGCATACCGTGAGTTGTTAGCCCTCTCCTCCCACAGGCATCCCAGTGACCTTGTGCAAACATTTTGGGACAGGATTTTGAAACTCGCACATAAGCAAGCTTTTCTCATTTAATTGGTGTGTAGGGATGTTAGAAATCATTCTGACTACATATGTGGTGTGTATGTGACTGTGGTGTACAGGCTTCTGGATCTCATGTTGGCTATCCTGTGTTCTTGCTCAAGGAATCCATCAGTTACCCGTATCTCTCTTTCTACTTTAGCTCTGTTCCTTGGGGTGGTGGGTGCAAATGTAAATTCTGCAAAAATTTAAGTATGTTCTTAATTTATATAATCATTCTTATCTAAACATTCCCATTTTATTTGGGGAAGCCTGTTCCAATTGACTGAGTTAAACTAACCCAGTGATGGGGGCATGGGGCTTTCCCTTATGGTGACACATCTGGTAGTATTTTGCACTTAAATTAAAAAATGACCATCCTTGTTAATTTAATTTGACATGAATTCTTCACAAGTATAGCTGGGCAACTTGTGGTACTTTGGATGCCTTCAGTCAGTCAGTCCTAGCCACTTTAGCCAGTGGAGGCCAAAACATCTGGAGGGCTAATAATTCTCTACCTTTGTTCTAGTACAAAATACTACCAGATGTGCCTACATAAGGAAAAGCTCCACATCCCATTGCTAAATTTTCCCAACCCAAGGAGTCAAAATAGGTTTCCCCCAAAAGAGAAGAACCCCACTTCCTCTTCAGGCAGAAAGCTGCATTCATTTTTCAGTGCTTCCTCAGTTTTCTTTTCCCTCCCCCAACATATCATCCATTTCTGGTTTGTTGACCAAAATCTTGGGGCAAACCATAAAAATCTGGCTCTGCTAGAAAGACCCTGCATTGCCTTTTCTTTTCTGAATAGCTGAATCTCTCCCTTCCTCCAGAGCTGCCGTGTGTGTTCTGTCTGTGGCTTCCGCTCGTCTGCACTGGACCCTAGCAGCCAATGGTACGAGAACTACTCTCTGTGTGAAGGATGCCGAGAGCAGCGTTGCAAGAGTACAAACAACACTGAGGCCGCACTACACAGCCTGGAGTGAGTGTCTGTAGTTAAGGAAGCAGTTTCTATCCCTTGGCCTCAGCTAAATGGGTTCTTCATAGTCATGATTCCTTTACAATGTAGCAGTGAGGATGGGTTGAAATACTTATTTGCACTTTCAAAAAAATGGTGGGAGCGAAAGAAAGAAGGCAGGAATGAACGAACAAATGAGCGACAGAAAGCTAGCTCCTAGAGATACTTAAGATAGAATGGGGATTTCTGAAGGTTGACTTGCTAAGTGTTCTGCAATGAACCATTTTTTTCAATCCTTCCAATGCTTATTTGGTTGTGAGTCTAAATTTGGGCTGATGGATCCAGAACAAATGATGATGAACATAGGAGGTTCGGTTATACTGTGTCAGGTGCATCTGACCCATTATGTCTATTGTCATCATCAGTGGCCCTCCAGGGTCTTGGGCAAGAGTTTTTCCTGCCACCACTCACTGACCCTTTAATTGGCAGTGTGGGTTGTTGATCTTGGGACTTCCCATTGGCAGCTCTTTGGCAACTGTAGGAACAGGATGTTGGACTAGATAGGCTTTTGGTCTGATGCAGCACAGCTCTTACATTCCACATAAGCGCTTTCCTCATTGGTGGACAAAAGGTTATCTTCACATGCTCACCCTGCCAACACAACGCAGGTATCCTCAGTTTGTCTAGGGATGTGACTGCAAATTCTAGTTCATGGTGTATCCCATTGGTGCCCAGCATGTGTCACAGTGTCCTCATGGCCCTTTTACAGCTACAGTGAATCCACAGACTCACTGTTGGATTAGCTTTGTTGCTGGGATCTAACAGTAAAGGGTGTTCTCTCTGCAGCTAGTGTGGCAGCTTAGTATAACTAGGGGAAGGGAGGGTCTCCCTCAGGAAGAAAACTTCAGGCTGGTGACCGTCTCGTCTCATATGTACCTGTTTAGGCCCTTAGCCCATCTCTAAGACTTTATCAAGCAGGGGAACACAGAGAAAATCAGGCAGGTGGCTGCAAGAGTTTGGAACCCGGGGAGAGCATTCCCCCAGGAGATGTGACTGGCACTCATATTGTTATATTTTTGGTACCAGCAAGGATAATCCCCACTGTGCCCAGACCTTTTAGGTTCTTGATTTTTAGATCTGAAATGTTTTAAGTGTCTGTAGAGTATTGAAATGACCGTTTTTACATACTTTATACTGTATTTTTATCTCCTGATCTTTATTGCATACTATGCCTTTATTTTCCATTATCATGCAGTCTTTTCACAGAATTCTTTTTTGAGCAGACTAAAAATAAAATGTAATAAGCCAGGACATGAGGATCCTTCTCCAGGTGCTACGATGCAAGATAACTTGTGTGAATTCTGTCCTTTGGGCCTTATCACATTAGTAGCTATGATCCCTGTGATAGTCATACCTTCCAAACAGTGCAGACAGACTATTTTCCCAACAACCCAGAGACTTTCTGGGTTTTCATGAGAAAGGATTCTGTCAGTAAACATTCCCCATCAAAACAGTCTCTCTCCTTTGCTGGTTACAGATGCTGGACCCCTGGGCTAGGTAACACTAGCGCTGAATAGTTTGGGGGTAATGAGCTGGAGAAGGAATCTTCTTATGTTCTCCTACAGTGGAGAGCCTTCCAAGATGATTTCCAATCAACATATTTTACCTCTCATTTACATGGACTTTTGCCATTAGTTTGTCAGTCTTTTGAGATTGTTCCTTCTCTTGTCAGAAGCACCTGTCCTGATTTACTAGCAAATGGTGCAGCGGAACAGTTCCCAATCCACAGGTGGATTGGCATAGCTGCCCATACACGACCATACAGGCAGAAGTTTCTTTCTTTCACGGCTCTTGGGAGTTGATTTTAGCCAACAGTTTTCATGCCAAAGAAGAGGAGCAGCATGCTTGAAGTGCATAAATAAGCACAAGGCACTCACTCGGATTCCTTATGTTTGTCTTTTAAAGAGGGAAAACTAGGTGAAGTGACTCCCCAATCAACTCTCAAGTAGATGGATGGATCAGGGATGGAGTGACTGTGATTATCCACCAGTCTCCATGGTGTTGCCTTTCCTTTAAAAGTTCTAACCTGTTCTATCGGGAGCAGCTACTGCAGAGACCTTTCTGTAGGTTGCTTCATCAGTGGACCTTTGAAAGGCATCAGGACTTAGGCAGTCCTTTCTCTCATTTTTTTATAAGACATCCGAAAACCTACACCTTTGCCTAGGGCAGTGTTTCTTTCAGGCAAAGACAACTGCAACTTGTGCACTTGAGAGCCCCTCCCAGTGTGCTTGTGTCATTGCTGTTTAGCTGCAGTGTCAGTGGATATCCACTTCCTTGCAGTTTGAGCAAAAACGAAACCCTTGAATTCCTAGGAAGGTTCCTTCTGCTCAGATGGAGCACGACATCCAGACTGCTCTAGGCTGGCGCGGTGGTCTAGGATCTTTCTGGAGAACGAGCTTTTGCTGCAACTCGTCTTTTGATATTTTCACAGTTCTGGGGCGTTTGTTTCCTTAACTAAGAATGGAGTGATTGGGGGTTCTTGAGCTTGCTGAAATTCTCCATTCAAAGTTCTGTTTCACCTACTCCCTTTCACATTGGCAGCCTATTTTTTTCAGCTGCTTGAAATAAGGTACACACCTCTCTAAGCATTTTTGAAAAGTATGCACTTTCCATGCATTGACTAGGGCAGGAGGATGTGTATTTATTAAATACATTTTTCTGCCCAATAGCCGGAAGGCTACTAAAGTGCTAATTTTAAAAGTGTATATCTTTCGAATGTGAATGTAAGCCTGGGAATTTGTTATCAGCTTTGGAGGATAGGTTTGTGGTTTTGTTCATGGTCAGGGCTGCAAGAGCATTTTCTGGTGACCTGTGAACAGAGGCAAAACTGCAGCTGTACAGTATAGTGCTTCTAAATGGAGAGGGAAGTCCCTCCAGTGGATACATGAAGCTCCTACAAGTTTTGTCTCCAATGGTACACAGGAGAAGTTCCCATTGCTGAATGTTCTTCTGCCATCTGAGCTCAAAAGATCATTCATGTTAAGTCCAGATTTTAGTCCCAGCGCCAAGTGTTTTCAGTAGGGTGAATGTTTTTGTGCTTTCACTCCTTTCAGTGAGATGCCAAATTAGACCCATATTCATAGATCAAATATGGGATGGATGGACTCTGTAAAGGAAGCTGTGGTCTTGAATTTGCAAGGCTGAGCAGGGCTGTCATGGGCAGGACATATGGAAGGCTTTCATTCCTTATGGGCCACCATAAGTTGGAAATGACTTGTGGGCAGACAACCACAACAGAAAATCTGAAAACCTCACTGCTACTGTTAGGCACAGCTTTGCTCGATGACAGAAGGATTCCAAGAAGCTTCCTACTATAACTGTTGAGAGTTCCTGCAGTGGCTCAGGGGCCACATCCTCAAGAAGAGGTCCTTGGTTCAACCACTGCGCCTGCCACATGGCACTTTCTCATTCCCCTCTATCTGACCTTGCCACCATCCCCATGTCCCCATGCAAAGTGGGGAAAATAAGAGTGCATTCCTTGCAGGGGTATCACAAGGATGACAGAAAATATCTTCAGAGTGTGTTGAAGCAGCACAAGCACTATGGAAATGCTGAAAGGGAGGACTCAGTAGGGTTTCTTTCTCCCATCACCACCTCAGGCACGGTCCCCCACCAAACAGCATCTCCACCGCAGACAAGCCGGCATCCCCCATCCAGCCTCCGGAGGAAACGTCTGTTGCCAATGAGGGGCTGCAAGAAAGCCATGGCAGCCCTGCCAGTGTGCACCAAGAGGAGCAGATGCCCTTGGCGTGCGGTGAGGAGCCTGCTGGTGAGTCATTCTCTCCCTGCTTGCCACTTCTTCAAGACAAATGATTGCCGGGGTGTATCTGTTATGACCATGGCTCAGCCTGTGAAAATGTATGCATTATTCTTCTATCCCACCTCTTTCCTGCAAGGAATCCAAGGTGGCTTACCTAATCTCCCTCCTCTCCGTTTTGTCCTCACAACAACCCTGTGAGGTAGCTTAGGCTGAAAGTCAGTGATTGGCTCAAAGCCACCCAGTGAGCTTCCTAGCCAAGGGGCAACTAGAACTAGGATCTCCCAAGTCCCAGTCCAGCAATCTAACCACTACTCTGCTTTTGAACATGAGTGTTAAATTGTTTTTATGGCAGCCGCCAGGCATCCAATCAGAATGTCACAGGAATGTGAAATGGATAACCTCAGCAAAAAGCTCAAATAAGCATTAGTGGCACTTTGACTTGGCAAAGGCTTTTGTTTTTGCTTTGTTTTCTTTGGTGCACTCCAAGTTGTGCCCATGTATGAGCAGTCAAGAGTGAAGCAACAGCACTTTCCCCGCTCCATATTCACTTTGGCCATGCATGGGTGGAGGTGGGGCGGGTGGCAGAAGGCGGGAACACGGACTTTGCTGGCAGCCTGGTGGAGCAGGGTTGGCATTTATCATTTATCGCCTTGGGGGATACAGTTGTTTTGAGCCACTTGCAGGCCATTTAAGCAGACTTCCCCATTCTGCTTTCCTGTTCCAGATGCAGACAAGCCTCTAGAGGTGTCCAGTGTGGATCCAGAGGCTCCCACAGGGCAGGAGCTAATGGAAGTGGAGACACCATTGGAACCAGAAAAGGCCCCCTCTCCCCCACCCCCTCCTCCAGTACCACCAGGTGAGTCAAAGGACATACCCAGGGCAGCACGAAATTCTCCCACAAGTCCTGCATACAGAGTGCAAATCTGTCATTTTGTTTCATTTACTTGGCACAGTTCTCAGAATGTAAGAATTGCCTTGCTGGGTCAGACCAAAGTCCCATCTCATCCAGCATTCCCTTTCCAGCAATGGCCAGCCGGATGCCTTTAGCTTTAGTCGTCTTCAGTTCCAGAGCAGATCACAGGCCATGCACTCTTTTTAGCCTGATGTTAGAAAGTCAGCTCTGAGGTCCCAGTTGAATGTGTTCTTTCTTTCTCTGAGTTCATCTCCTTTTTAAGTGCAACTCAGTGATTACATCAAGAATCCCGCAACAAACCAAACCGAAAAGGTTTCATGGGTTAGTGTGGCAGTGCACATGTCAGGCCTGGAGTGTCCCAGTCTGGCCCTCCCGTGGGGTTCTGTAGAAGGCCAAGCCAGACTTCTCTCAGTGCCTCCCGCTTTCCCCCAACCATTGGTCATTTGGTGGCTTCCCACCTTTTGTGCAATTTTCTCCCATTCTAGAAGCTTGACATGCTTCTCTTAAGTGGTAGTTAGCAGTGGTGAGAGCTTTAAGCTAAAGGATGCTGATCTGCTCTGTTTTACATTTGTCCTGCTCCGCAAAGAACAGCTTCAAAATGGAATTTCCACTACAGGCTGGAAGGGTTTCTGCACCCTGAGTTAGTGCAGAATTTTATCTGTCTCTGATTAGAAGAATGCCATTCTTCACCCTTTTTGTGTGTTTGGGAATGGTAGCTTCCTTATCCATGGCTTAGTCATCCCTCACCTCTGATTTCTCTTATCCACCCCGCAGATCCAGTGTCACCTGCCCACCCAGAGGAATCATCGCTCGGTGCCAAAGAGCATTCCACCTTTGAGTTGCTTCCCATAGAGCCAGAACCTCTAGAAAGCCATAGTGAGTCAGCTCCCTCTACCCAGTCCTCTCCCATGAGCCCTCTGCCTGGCTCTCTCAAGGCTGGTTCCCCTGAAGCTGCTGAGGAGGGAGAGCCTGGTGAGGAGCCCATGGACACAGGGATGGAGGCACTAGTCCTCGACAGTCCGGTTAGCAACAGAGTCCAGCCCAGCCAGGAGGAGGAGGAGGAGGAGGAAGAGGAGGCAGCAGCACCCAAGATGGAGCTTGAGGAGAGATTTTCCCCACAGCTAAGTGAGGAGGAGGCCCCAGAAGAGCGACAGGCCACAGTTGGGCCAGAGCCCAGCGAGTCTTGCCTCAATTTTGCCAGTGAACCCAAGCGCTCCCCCTCACCTGTAGAGGCAGAATTGCTGGGCAGCACACCCACCCCAATGGAGGCCTATGGGACTGCCAATCCTCTAGAGGGAGGGCCAGGCGGAGATGAGGAAGCAGGACCGGCCCCACCACCCTTGAGGCCCCACCACTTGGTTAAGTCAGATATTGTGAATGAAATCTCCAACCTGAGCCAGGGCGATGCCAGTGCCAGCAGCTTCCCAGGCTCCGAGCTCCCGTTTGCCTCCCCCTACCACGAAGGTGGGGGCTCACTTTCTCTGGAGATGGCTGGCCTGACTTCCACGGACGTCAGCCTGCAGAGGGAAGACGGAGCCTCTCTGCCCCTGGGTGACATGGATGACTCTCTACCATTTGATGTGAAAGGCGAGTGTGAGAAGGGTCGGCGGCGCAGCTCCCCAGCCCGCTCCCGTGTCAAACAGGTAAGCTGTCTCCTGCCTCTGACCAGCTCTGGCGGGTCCTTCCCGGTGCCTTCTCCCACTGGGTGGCCCCTGACCTACAGGGTGTGGGAGTCCTGGAGGAAGGGTGGCGAAATGGAGAATATGCACATCCCCCAGTATATCTATACGCATAATTTCCATCTCCCACTCTTTTTCCTTCCGGCTGTAGGGTCGCAGCAGCAGTTTTCCTGGGAGGAGACGGCCCCGGGGAGGGTCCCACACAGGCCGGGGGCGGGGCCGGTCACGATTGAAATCCACCACTTCTTCCATTGAGACATTGGCGGTAAGGGCAGCGTTGATGGGCAGGGCATCTTTGGAGGTGTGTGTGTGTGTGTTGGAAATCAGCCTGAGTGTTTCCTTGGCCAGCTAAAGGAGCAGCAGTGAGTTATTAGGCTTAAGGCCATGTGCCTGGGCTTACAAATGGAGAATAAGCCTTTGCTACGCTATCCCAGCTCTCCCTTGGTGGCCCTTGACTGGTCCTATAGTCTTAGAGATAGCGCTTGAAGCCCCCCTTGCCCACCTGTTTTTCCTCCATTTAAATGGATATTCCAGGTGCCTCTCTCACACAGTCATAGCCTGCTCCGTCCACGACGGGGCTTCTTCTCCTCTAAGTGCTTCAGAGCAGGGCATCATTCAACAGGTGTTGCCTTTCCTTTTCCTGAAACACAGAGGAAGCTGGACTGGTCTCTGCCTTCCTTTGTGCTATTTAAAGGGTAGGAATTCTAGTTTTCTTTGGCTACCCTACCCTACCTGTGGAAGCATACAAGAAGGGGCAGGGAGCCAGGGGAGTGTGTGGGTGTAGATATGTGATGTGAAAACTGGCCATGTGAAAGCTGGAAAGCGGAATGTAGGCCTTCTCCCCTGTAGTAGGAGCAATGACTCCGTACATGATGGAAGTAAGAGAGAGAGAGAGAGTCGTGTGCCTGAATGCAAGTACTTTCCCTCTAGAATCTTAAGGTAGTATTCTGAGCACCAGGAAGAGCTGGCTTACCCTGTGCTTTTATGTTCTCTCTCCTCTAAGCTTGCGGATATCGACAGCTCCCCGAGCAAGGAGGATGACGATGATGATGACGACACAATGCAAAATACAGTGGTGCTCTTCTCCAACACAGACAAGTTTGTGCTGATGCAGGTGGATATGTAATTTTTAAAAACAAACAAACATGACACGTTAGGGCTGCAGACTTCAGTCGATTTCTGATTGCACTGATAAAATTGGTGTAAACAAAGATTTGCTCTGATTACTGTTGCTCTGGGGGTGGGGAGGAGCTATGAATCTCAAATCTTTGCTTCTTGTCAGGCAGGGCTGCAGAGGTGGGTTTGAACAGTTTGCCTTTCTGGGTGAAAGGCTAATTCTTTCTAATAAGTGTTGTAGGCAACTGCAGCTGATATTTATTATTTATTGATTACATTTCTATAGCACCCCATAGCTGAAGCTCTCTGAGTGGTTTACATCATAGTGAAGATGATAAAATGCAGTGCATAGAACAAATGCTAAAATGCAATACAAATATAAAAACAAAGGAAGGTTAAAATTCATTTAAAATAATAGTGCCCAGTTGATGTCAGTGTTGGTACATCTTTTAAACTAAGAGCTGTACTTGGTCAGAGCAGGAAGAGAATGGCCCTCTCCCACTCATATTCCCTAGCAACTGATATTGTGAGGCTGAAGGGTGTTAATATCAAACCATCGGGACTAGCACCATTTATAGTCCTCTCCTCCATGAATGGGTCTGAAAATCCCATTTTAAAGCAATGGAAACTTGTGTCCATCAGTACATCTTGTGGAAGTGAATTCCGAAGTACATGCTGAGTGAAGGACTTCCTTTTAACTGCCCTGAATCTCTCACCATTCAGATTCAAAGAATGACCCTGAGAGTAAAAGAAAAACTTCTCCGTTTTCTTTACCTGATGCATAACTTTATAAATCTGTTGATAAAGCTTTGTTTTCATGGAAATGCTCTTCTTTCCCACTCTAATGAAAAATGGTAGCTTTCATTTATAGTTGTAATTCCATATTTCTGAGAAATAATCCTGTTCAGGAGCTTCAGTTAAAGACTTGTGAATTGATTAATACTTGTGAATTGATTAATGTTATTTAATCACTTAAGACAGCATTATACAATGTTTTTAATTGTCTGGCATCCTTGTTTTGGCTGTAAAATGCCTAGACCAAGAATAGAGGACCAGGTGTTTTAGACTACAAATTAGAGAATTCCTCCCCATAAGCTTGGGATGCTTGGAGTCGTTGTTGCCCCTTTATCGGGCTGCAGGTTGCCTGCCCCATCCAAGAGCTTGCAGAGGAAGCAGGCTGTTCATGCAGTGGGAAAGGGGGGATCTTCCTGTGCTCTGGGCGGCCCCTCCTGATCCTGATCCTCCTCTCCCCACTGACAGGACATGTGTGTAGTATGCGGCAGCTTTGGCCGAGGCGCCGAGGGCCATCTCCTGGCATGTTCACAGTGTTCACAGTGCTACCATCCTTACTGTGTCAACAGCAAGGTAAGGCCTGCCCTGCCCTCAGGTTTGTGAACTCTGCACTTCTCAGCTCAGATTCTGCAACAAGGCACCCCAAGGATACATAATTCGGGGCCAATTTTGGTCTGCTTTCACTGGCAATAGAATAGAAATGCCTGGTTTTGGAAAACTGTTCTAGCTTCACAAAGTGTGTTTGCTGGAATTGTCCCTTTGTTGATGTGTTAGGGCAGGGGTAGGCAGCATGGTGCTGATGGATGCCAGTGCTCCCTGGCCTTGGGGGTTGCTGTGAAATAGGGTTCTGCCGTGGATTCAAAGAATCACTTAGTGTGTTGGGGCTCAGGCCCCATCTTGCCCTTGTAGCCAGTCTTCGGGCAGTTTGCTAGTCCTTTAGCACCTTCCCATGGCAGCCATTTGAGGTGCTGCACGGGAGAGTATCTCAGATTGCCAAATGAGTCCACAAGCCCCGTTAAGATGCTCTTCCCCTGCTTTTAGGTACTTGGGTAACATTTAGAGAATAGCAATAGGGATATAGGAATGTGAATGGGGCTGAGGCTGAGAAATGTACTGAAGTCACCTCCAGCATGGTCTGACTTCTAAAACCCTCCCTTAGGCCCCTGGGATGTGAACAGCAAGGATCTCACAAGATTTATTTCCTCTGACATGACTAGGAAATGACCCACATTTCTTTGAGAGATAATTGTTTAATTTTATTTACATTGATATCCCTCATGCTCCCCATTTTATCCTTGCAACAACCTTGAAGTAGGTTAGGCTGAGTCTGTGACTTCATGACAGTGAAGTTCGTGGCCAAATGGAGACAAGAACCCAGATCTCCTGAGTCCCAGACCAACACACAGACTGCATCATTTGGCCTTGTCCCTTGCAGTCTGTCCCAGATAGCAGGCCTGAGTGGGATCATCCATGTGCAATGGATGGCCCATGTAGGGGAGGCAGCCACTCCACAGAGTATGGAACGATGCTTCTCAGCCTTGGATCCCCAGATACTGTTGGCGTATAGCTCCCATTTTCCCTGACCAGTGGCCATGTAGACTGGGGGTGGTGAGAGTTGTAGGCCAGTGATATCTGGGGGACCCATTGGAAAGGAATCAGACCTTGGGGGATCCATACACCTTGCATCCCAGGAAAAGCTGTGTTGGTTCTCAACACACCTCTCCAGGCAGTGTCCTCCGATCCGGACTTCCAGAGATACTGGGTCGCCTTAATCCATCTATGTGCCTTCTTCACTTTTAAAAGATCACCAAGGTGATGCTGCTAAAGGGCTGGCGCTGTGTGGAATGCATCGTGTGCGAGGTCTGTGGCAAAGCGTCTGACCCCTCCCGCCTGTTGCTCTGTGATGACTGTGATATCAGCTACCACACGTATTGCCTGGACCCTCCTCTCAACACGGTGCCCAAGGGTGGCTGGAAGTGTAAATGGTGAGAGCCCGGGGCTTCCGCAGAGGGCTGGAAAGGCGGGACTTCTGTGCTTTGGGCCAACCTGGAGTTTAGGGCTGGGGAAGGGAGAACCAGGGAAGCTCAAGCTCACTGAAAATCTCTGAACTTTAAATGAAAACTCAGTTCAGCTCACTTCCATTCTTTCTTTCGTGACTTGTTTTTTTTCCAGCTCATGCAAATAGGGAAGGTGCATTTTATCAAAAGTACACTGTTTTCCCGCGTTGAGTAAAGTGTGAAAATACGCAATTTTAAAAATGCATACTTTAAAGATTGCTACTTTAAAATGCAGCAGTTAAGGTTGGGCATTTTTAAAAGAGCACACTTTCCCCCATTCAGGTACGAACATGGAAATATTTAAAAAGTGAGCACTGTTAAACAGGCACTGCTTTACTTTGCACAGTTTGCAAGGTGCATGATAATAAAGTGTACATTTTGCAGATGAAAATACAAGTTCAAGAATTTGCAGAGATTGTAGGTAAATAGTTCCTGCTTGGGAATAGGACATTTTAGTGTGATTTGCAAACTGAAACTAAATTTCTATACATCCCTGGTCTGGCCTAAGAAAGGCCTAATTCTTCCAATTTACTACTTTCCAATAGATGACACATTGGAACTTCATTTAATTTCTGGTATTTTGCCAAAGTTGTGTTTCCTGTAGTTATCAAATAGAGGCATGAGGAGACATTGTTCTTTGATTATGAACTTAGAGAATGTATTTAACAATTCATAATGCTTGAATATTCTTAACAATTGGCAAAACAGATGTATATATTGGAACATAGATTTTGTTTTATCATAGAGGTCCAATCACAGTATTGTTCCAGTATTCCAGATACTTTAAATGCTTTTATAATAATAGAAACTGCTTATTATATTTTCCAGTAACACACATGAGTAAATATTTTTGTACAAGGTGGCTGTGCCCACGTATTTGCATTTGTTAGCTATTGGGATGCAGGACTTCAGAGCTGGATGCTAAATCCAGCCTTTTGGGCATCTCCGCCTGATTCTCTGTGATTCCCTAGCAGATCATGTCTCCTTATCCTAGCCCTCCCTTTCTCCTAAGCATTGCTCATTTGATGGCTACCCATATTTTGTACATTTTTCCCTTTTCTAAAAGACTGACATGCGTCTTCTGAGGCTTAATTCCTGACAGTTTACAGAACCATCCTATTTCTTAAGACAATGTACAAATTATGCTTTTGTGTTAATATAGTTTCCACATGTGTGCATGTACACACAGAACTCTGAATGGAAGTAAGAGAACTCCAGGGCTGCCGTCTCAGTCTTGGGATATCTACTTTTTTTGAGATTGTTGCGGGGCAAGGGGTAGATTCAATGCAGAGTCAGCACTGATCCTGTCCCCTCTCTTTCTCACAGGTGTGTGTGCTGTGTGCAGTGTGGGTCGGTTTCACCTGGCTTCCACTGTGAATGGCAGAACAATTACACCCACTGTGCTCCCTGTGCCAGTCTTGTCACCTGTCCCATCTGCCAGGTGAAGTATGTGGAGGATGATCTCTTAATCCAGTGTCAGCACTGTGAGCGGTAAGCCCCCATTTTCCTCACCCAGTTTCACTGCTGTAATCTTCACAGCAGCAAGCACGTGCTATATGAGGTACTTCCAGGAAAAAAGGACTGTAAAGTAGCTGCCTTTGCACCCTGTACATTTCCAGATTCAGGAGAGTGATGGTCAGAAGTGTTCTTGTTGTAGAATCCTGCTTTGCCTTTTCCATAATATTTTGTGAGCTCTCACCCACCATTTTATTTTGGTTCCTGGAATGAATGAGGGATTGTGTCCAGACAGATGAGTGAAAGAGACAGAAAGAGAGATTAGTTATGTTGAATTGCCCTGTGTTTGGACAAGGGCTGCAAGACTGGTGCTCTCTGTCCATCCTATACTCTGTCGGTATATGCCAGGCAAGGCAGAGGTCCAACCAGAGGAGTTTTCCCTGCTGGTTCCTCCAGAGTGTCTGTGTGCATTCTGCTAGATAGGTCCCCGAGCCCCTCTCATTAACTTATTAGTATGCATGGCAGTGGATTATGACTCTCCTTTCCAGTCCCCTCCCTGCCCACTGTCCCACCCACCCCTTTTCTCCCTCAGCTAATGGCTTCCACCTCAGAGAAACAGCTGCCATGAGTGGCTGCTCGGCCCGATGTGCGTTTCTCTCCCCGGAGGTCCTAGCAGTGCCTGTGACCCAGGAATAGAAATTAGCTCCATCTGCATGTGAAGAGTGCTTGACCGGGAGTGATAACCTGACTTCACCCCACTTCTAGCCACTGGAGCTACACTGGGGAAACAAAGCCATTGCAATGCCAGGCTCAGATTCATTGCTGAAGGCGGAAAATGCTGGTATGAAAAGCTGTCACAGTGTGTTCTTCGGCTCTGAATTCACCTATAACGCCATTTTGTACTGGATGATGGCAACCTGGGAAAGAAAGTAGAAAGAACTGTTCCACAGCTTAGTAGTTTGGAAATAGGTCACTTGTCATTCAGAGTGCATTGTACTCCTCTTTGCCCTGTGTGTTTGTGTGGTTTAGTAGTGTGGTGTAATGGTTCGCATGCCTGGCTGGTACTAGCCTCCACTTTGTCTTTTAAATCCACTGGTCTCTGATTCTCAGCCTAATGTAGCTTGGAGGGTTTGTTGTGAGGATAAAATGGAGAGG